AGGCCTTTGTGACACAGCTGTTCCCTAGATTTTCCACCGCCAAGAACTCTCCCATCACTAGTGATGACACCAAGCGATTTATAGCTCATGGCTTTGCACTAATAAGGTCGGTTTCTAGGCTTTGGGTTGAATGAAGTGCTGTCACTCATGGATATAAATTCCTAACAGATTTTTGAAACAAAAGTTTGGTAATCACACCAGCGTCACCTTAAAACCAGAGCTGTCCATTAAAATGAATGAAATAATGCCACTTGCAGCAACATGCCTGGACCTAGACATTGTCATACTGAGTGAAGATAGTCAGATAGAGAAGGAGAAATATTGGATGACATCCCTTACATGTGGAATCTAAAAAGAAATGACACAAATGAACTGACTTATAAAACAGAGACTCATGGACTTACAGAATGAACTCCTGGTTGCCAGAGGGCAGGATGTGGAGAGGGATAATTAGGGCGTTTGGGATCCATATGTGTACACTGCTATATTTAAAAATGCTGTGTGTGTGCCTAGTTGCTCAGTCCTGTCCAACTCTGTTGGGCTTCCCAGGTGGCACTAGTGGTAAAGAACCCACCTGCCAATGTAGAAGACATAAGACATGTGGGTTTGATCCCTGAGTTGGGAAGATGCCCTGGAGGAGGACATGGCAACCCACTCCAGTATTCTTGTTTGGAGAATCCCATGGATAGAGGAGCCTGGTGGGCTACAGTCCCTAGGGCCGCAAAGAGTTGGACACGACTGAGGTGACTTAGCACGCACACACACGTCCGACTCTGCAACCACATGTACCGTAGTCCACCAGGCTCCTCTGTCCATGGGATTTTCCAGGCAAGGATACTGGAGTGGGTTGCCGTGTCCTCCTCCAGGGCATCTTCCTGACTCAGGATCCAAACCCTCATCTCCTGTGTCTTCTGCATTGCAGGTATGTTCTTTACCCACTGAGCAATTGGAGAAGCCCCATCATATTTAAAATGGATAACCAGCAAGGATTATAGCAGAGGGAACTCGCTCAGTGTCATGTGGCAGCCTGGATGGGAGGAGAGTTTGGGGGAGAGTGGACACAGGTCTATGGATAACTGCCTCCCTTTGCCATTCACCGGAAGCTATTACAACATTGCGAATCGGCTATTCCCTAACACAAAAGAAGAAGCTTGAAAAAAAAAACCCTGTTGAAGATTGAAAGTGGCACACAGCTAAACATCACAGGAGGAGGAGGTGCAGTCATACTGCCTCCCATCTGAGCCTGCAGGACAGGCTGATCTGGATCACATTTTTAAAATAAGTTATTCTGTTCAGCTCTATCTGCATTCTGAAGGCACCACCTGGTACCTGCTGAATTGGTAAGTAACCTAGGAAAAGGGGCTGGAAGACTATGAATTTAAATTGACTTGCCTGTAGTAATTCTTTACATTCACAGAAAAAAAAAAAAAGAAAAAAAAGATGCAGGCACTACCCCCTGCCCCCTGCCAGACAGGCTTGGCCTAGTGGCTCAGACGGTGAAGAATCTGCCTGCAATGCAGAAGACCTGGGTTCGATCCCAAGATCAGGAAGATCCTCTGGAGAAGGAAATGGCAACCCACTCCAGTATTTTTGCCTGGAGAATCCACAGACAGAGGAGCCTGGTGGACTACAGCCCCTGGAGTCACAAAGAGACAAACATGACTGAGCAACTAACATTTTCACCCCCCCTCCCAGAATGTTATTCCATTTAGGGTCATTCAACAGTTGTTACTGGAGTGCCCGCTGAATTCTGACTGTTGTCTGAAATGCAAGTTTATTCAACCATTAACGAGTATTTATAAAACAAAAGGATGAGTTTACTTTTTTTTTTTTTAAAGCTACGGGATGCGGGGATGCGGCTCTAAAAGTGAAATGACAGGATGGCAACTGTTACTTTTGGGAGTGCAATAACTGGATTTCTATCAACTCTAAATCCTTTTGGTGCTAATTCTCTAGTTCCTTCTTTCCTTCTGGTGGTCTCTCTTTGTTCATGTCACTGCCTGCTGACACCTCCAGTGAGGACAAGTCAAGGAAAGTGACAGGAGCCAGGTCATGGTCCTTGAAGCCGGCGCAGAGCGGAGAGAAAGCAGGAGGAGGCTGAAAACCGTGATCGCAGAGGAGTTTCCTGCAGAGGCCGTCCATGGACTGCCATCTTCCCTGAATTAATAACAGAATGAATGAAGCATACACCCCCACTCCCGCCCCTGGACCTCAGCACACACCAGCTGAACACTTTACACACTTTTAGGTGACTTCCTAGCCCAGTGATCTCTTTAAGACCCATATTTTTATTGTTCAGAGGAAGAGACAGTGCCTGTTGTTGCTTTTCAAGCTTGAAGAATTTCCCCACGATTTTCTCAGTTCAGTGGTTGAGTGGCTGTTTGAGCTGCGTGTTTCTTTACTGTCACGGATTTCAAATCAATTGGGACACATGGCAATTGGAAGATGTCTCTCTCTCCATATGATGGATATGTAAGAGGGCTTTTTTTTAATTCTATCTATATCCATAAAAGGAGAAACAGTTTTATTGTAGCTGTCAGCCAGAAAAATCACACAGTTTGCTAATGGGAAGAATGCATGGTAACAGCCTCTTGGTTTGATACAGATAGGGACAAAATTACATTAGCCGCCGTCCCAGCAGATTGAGAGACATTTCCTCTTGTAAACAGTCCAAGGAGCTGCGGGTCCAAGTAGGACCATTTAGCTGTTGCTGTTTTAGACTTAACTTTCTGGTCTACACATTGGAAAACGCCTTACATGTTAATTTCCCATATGTGTGTGTTTAAACACCACGCCCTTGATATGTTTGATGCTCCAGGTACCTTACTGTTGAATGTGTGTGTATGCTCACTTTGTTAGACTATGACTTCTTCCTCTTCCTCTTTTTTTGTTTCCTATCACCAGATCTTTACTGCACTATCTGCACTATTATAATATCTGCATTATTCTTTTTTTAATTTATTTTTTATTGAATACAGCTGATTTACAATGCTAATTCTGCTGGAGAGCAAGGTGACTAGTTATGCACACATGTATAGTCCTCTTTATACTCCTTTCCACTATGGTTTATCCCAGGATAGAGAATATGGTTCCCTATGCTATACAGAAAGATCTTGCTGTTTATCCATCCTATATACACTAGTTTGCATCTCCTAACCCCAAACTCTCAGTCTATCCCTCCCCTTCAGCAAGCTTCTTGAAATGGATAGGAGAGGTTTGGGGCCCAAAACCTCAGCAAGCTTGGTTTGAATGATGTATAGAGCCACATTTCCATTCTTATAGAGACTTGACTTATAAGACAAGTATAATTGTTTTTCATTCCTCAAGGAACTTAGTTGCAAGTTGAAGGATACAGAGGCTGACCCATCTGTATACTAACTACTTTATCTTCAATTTGCTTCCTAATATTAGGGACAGCATCCTTAATTAAGATGAAAATCAAAAGATTCCTACATCTTCCAAATGCAAATTTCCACATTGTCATTAAATACAATTCCAATTGCCTGTTTTTATAAATGGTTAAAGCTCCCTTTGAACAATTTACACCACCAAACACTAATTACATGGAGTTGACTGTCGAATTGGACTACACTCCCCTCACCCTGGGGATTAATTACCACTGCTTTGGCTGCTCAGGGCAGTGAGATGAGGGAAAGGGCAGCTGGTGAGGGTCAGGGGAGAGCATGTGTGGGGTTGAGTGCAGGTGCGATCACAGGAAGAGGAGAAAAACGCACGTTCTCCTGGGCCACCCTTACACTTTACTAAACTCAGTCATCTGGGAGTGTGTCCAATGAAGAAACAAAAAAGCTGGATCTGGCTCTCAATACCCGAAGTCTGTCTCCTTGTTAGTTTAATGAAGTCCAAGCAAGGCCTGAGGGAGACAACTTAGTATTCCTATTTCTTGGACATGAAGAAGCAGACCTCGTCTACACTCTTGGTAAAGACAGGATGGGACAGAAGGCTGGGAGGACGACGAGGGTGAAAGAGACAGCTTTCAACTCTCCAGGGGGTCACACTGACAAGGGGCCATCTCACTGGGTCTCAGGGGACCCGCCAGGAGACCAGGGTCATGACTCACTTTTTCTGATTAGGAAGCAGGGACTCAGGGACATTTAGCACCGTTTTGGCTTTTGACTGTGGGTGGGGTGTGTGGTTTACAGTCTGTCTGCTCAGCTGGACAGTCAGCAGTCAGGGGGCAGGGGGTCTCTCACTGTTGCCTGCTGCTCCCTGCTAGGGAATTAAGGGCATGACTCCCACAGATACACAATTGTATGCTTGCTCAACAGCTGAAGTTGACAATGGGATTCAAGCCAAACTCTTGAAACCATATCTCCTGCCCTGGAGGCTTGTCCTTGACACATATTTTTTTCCCTAAGAGCCTAAATAATTTTCAGTATCATTTTATCATTTCTCATGTGTCATTTTTGGCATCTCCCAAGCTTTCCAGGATGCTATATTTATTCATCTTCTTCTTTTGTTTCTCCATCTCTTAAGTTGATGCTGGGAATGAAATCCTTGGGTTTTGGCACTATGATGGGGGGATGGATGACAGGATATTTTTTCCTGTATAAGAATTATTTACACCTTTATAAAGACTACAGCATTTTAGAGAACAGAAAGCTTTCAGGAGCGCATCACTATTTTTCTTTGCCTGTTACAGTTTACAAAGACAGAAACGCCTCTTTCTGGTAGCATACAACCTCAAATGCAGGCGCTTAGAAATATAAGACTCCTTGATGCCATTTGCCTTAGTTTTCTGGCATACTAGATACAACTGTGCTAGCCCTGGTTGTTCCATTCACTCAAACCACTCCCCTGCAAGGGCGCAGGGAGTGCACTCAGCCAATTTCCTTTGAGAGGGTGACATTTAACTGACTGGGTCACATGACAGAAATGGCCACACTATGGTTTATATGTGTCTAATACAGACATACACATATAAACCATCTCCCTGTTCCCACTTATCTGGGCTTCCCATATCAACAAGACTCCACACTTACATATCATCGAAGATGAGTTTCTGCCTCTTGCAGTCCCGGTGGCCGTTGGCGCCTGGAGACCAGGGCTCTGTCTGTGGCCGTGACTTGTGGAGAATGCTTTCGGAATTGTTGTGAGCCGCTTTCTAGACAACAAACAAACACACCCACCTTTGAGAAACTGGCCCTCTGGCTGAAGGAGTAACCCCTTAGAATTGCTTGGGTTCTAGGTTAGACGTGATAGTGCTTTTTGTTTTGATTAAGAAAGAGAAATACATGCATTTCAGGTGTCAAGCCCGAAGATTTCATGTGTGTGGTGAGCTGTCACCCCCACGACAACATCACCAGGGAGGTCTTAGTCTTGCTCTCGCACATCCGGATCCTGAACCTGCCGAAGCTCAGACGGCCACTGCGGGTGCCGGCTGCGGGCTCCGACTCAGGCTCCTAACCTTGCCGGGTGCTAGACCCACGGTTCTCCAAACTGACCGCATCAGACAGCTGAGTGCCACACCAGCATCTCCGTCTCAGTAGGTCTGGGGGAGGGCCTGAGAACATGCATTCTGCACAAGTTTCAGACTGCTGGTCTAGGACCTGAGCTCTCAGAACCACCGAGCCGTGTTCATCCCTCACGAGAGGTTCAGGTCATAGACTGGTTCTCATCAGCTGTCTGTGCTGGAAAGGAAGAGCCGATGGGTACTGCAAGAAATTATTTAAAACATGTTTTAAAAAGGAACACTCTCTATCTGGGGAAAAATTTAAACATCCTTTTTTTTTCTCCTGGAGATACAGATATTAAGGGGGTACCTACTGTGTGCTGATCATTTGGATCATAAAACACCCTGTCTTTGGTTAGGAAATTCAAAAGGATTCCTCTGAAGTAATTAAAGTGGACTAGATACCAGTGCTTCTTTAAGTATGGGCTGATTTTATGTGCGGATCAAGCCTCTTTGTTATGAGAGCCTCTAGGACTCTGGGCATTTCTTTTTTGGCAGGCAGAGTAGTAAATTATGGATGTGTGTGAACCCTGGTCTAAGTGGCTCTCCTCAGCTAGACTGTAAGCTTCCTGCAGGCAGAGACTGAATCTGTTAGATCATCAATGCACCTCTATTACTTAGCAGAGTGCCTGGGACACAATAAGTACTTCCTTGATAAACACCTGTTCAGTGAAAGAAGGTCTAAATAAAGTCTGTAATTGGTTAAAGACCCTCTGCACATCACAGTTGCTTGTGATAGAAGGATCTAGAGGCAAAGAGAAGTTGTGTTTGGTTTAAAATTTGAATTGCTTGCTTTTTATTTCCGATTTTCCTAATAACGATCTTCTCAGATTCTTGTATCCTAGAACTAAAGAGAACTGCTCTCAAATGAGGGTGCCTAAGAGGCTTAGTTTCCTGATGGTTCATTAAGACTGAGGCTCTTGCTGGACCTTAACAACTTTTTTTGCCTCTTTGATTTACCGGATAAAGCAGGAAACGCTGCCTCTCCTGTTTGTTTGCAGAGTCCTATTGCCAAGTCTCATTTCTCTCTGCCTCACAAAGCCCTGCTGGTTTTGAGAAGCACAGTGGGGAGAGTTTGAAATTAAATAAAGTACTCAGAGGATGCACAGTTCAGGGATGCCCACTCTTAGAGAGTGTCTCACACTGGACATCACCTTGGTGACCTTGGACGGCAGGCATCCCTGCAGCTTTGGCCTTGAGCTCCAACCCCAGGCTTGACTCTGCCCCAGGGCAAGAAAGATATCAAATGTAAAGACTGGGTGGCCCTAGACTTCCAATTTACTTTGTCCTGGGAGAGTTACTTTAGGGCTGTTTCTTTTCAGAATGGAAAATGAGGTCCTCCAAAGAGGTTCCTAAGCAGAAGAGGCTTAAAATACCGCCTCTTTGTCTTCGGCCACAGCCTGTGCGAGAGGCAAAGGGCAGCTCTTGCTGGGTCTTCCCAGAGCAACATTCAGGGCTGCCTTGTGGCATCTGGAGCTGGAGTTTAGACTGAGCTGGGTTACAGGAAGAGTACGGGGTGCTCAGTTTCATTTCTGTGTTAACTGGGACAGGAGGGCATCAACCTACCGTGAGGTCCGCGGCGTGCGTCTGCAGCTGGCTCTCCACCTTATGCTTTTTGTTGGAGGAGGTGGAAGTGAGCAGACCGTTGCTGTTGGATCTGCTGGAGGAAGTTAAGTCCTCGCCGGAGAATTTGTGTTTAGATGCGTCGGAGAGGGGTGAGATGGGCGACCGGAGCATTTTTTCATTTTTATTTATTGGTATTGCCAAGCTGAGAAAGGAAGTCACAGTAATGGAATGTCACACACTCAGCACAGGGGAAGGAAAATGTTTTATATATGACCCAAACCTCCCATTTAAAACCTGCTGGTAGGAAGACATTTACTGGGAATTATTATGCCAGGAAACAATTTTATGGCATTAGGACCGTAACAAACAATAAACACATTTTTTCATTGTTTCTTTACTTATTCTCCCAGAATTAATAGTAATTCTGGAGATAAACAACTAAGAATAACACTTTCATTTCCCAAGCTTTTCATCTAAGGATCTCAAAATACACAGCAAACCACTTACTGTTTTCCTAACAAGTGCAAGCAGCAGGTAATGGGAAACTCAATTAAATGATACATGAGATCTCTACTTCCAAAAGGACTTTTGCTAACACCTGAGCTTATACTAATTATTACACGGAGAATAACACAACTGCAGAATAATCAAGCATGAAGCCACCTTCCAATTGTTAGGCAAGCAGGCATTGATCAGAATACAAAGAACTGAAATGGTCATTAGAAATGACATTTTCTGATTCCTAGTTCCTTATTTTACCTTCAAAACTATTGTCTCTGCCTGAATACATCCCAGTGGACCATCACAGAAGGGAGTTACTTATATCTGGGTCTTTACAATGTATGTAATGCGGATAGGGCTCTCTCTATTACTTCACTTTGAAACAAAAAGGGTAGGAAGACACATTAGCCCAAAATAAACTCAATCATTGCTAACTTGGGATGGTTCTAGAAGTCACCTGGTGGAGTCAGTTAATGTAAGGTAAATTCATCGGACAAAGAGTTAGTCATCATTCCTGCATTTATGACTTCTTCATTGTATGTGCTGTTGTAAACAAGCCATTAAGGTCACTTCTTATTTTTTAAGCAATATCCTTAGTTGGTAGTCACAGTGTAGAAATTACATATGTAGGCCTCTAGAACAAATGAGAAACCAAGATGCTTAATGTTATGCAAACACATTTGTGTAGGGAGAGAATTTCTGATGACAGCTTTCTGGTTTAAAAAGCACTGTGCATCCAACAACTGAGAAGTGAGAAGCTGTGTTCTAGAAAACTGCCTTGGGCGAATCAGAAGTAGCTCAGCCAGTGAGGATGAAACACTGAAGCTGAAGATGGATGTTAATTGTCTGAATGTAATGGTTTCTTGACACATGAGTAAAGAAACCCTATTTCTAAGTCTCTATTATTTTACATACAGTACTCAGGTGGTGCTATTGTGGTAAAGAATCCACTTGCCAATGCTGGAGACATAAGAGACGCCGGTTTGATTCCTAGGTTGGGAAGATCCCCTGGAGGATAAAATGGCAACCCACTCCAGTATTACTACCTGGAGATCTCCATGGACAGAGGAGACTGGTGGGCTACAGTCCATGGGGTTGCAAAGAGTTGGACCTGGCTGAATTGACTTAGCACTCATGCACTCAGTTTAGTCCAGTCGCTCAGTTGTGTCTGACTCTTTGCAGTCCCATGGACTGCAGCATGCCAGGCTTCCCTGTCCATCACTAACTCCCAGAGCTTGCTCAAACTCATGTCAGTGATGCCATGAGTCAGTGATGCCATCCAACCATCTCATCCTCTGTCGTCCCCTTGTCCTCCTGCCTTCAATCTTTCCCAGCATCAGGGTCTTTTCTAATGAGTCAGTTCTTTACATCAGGTGGCCAAAGTATTGGAGTTTCAGCTTCAGCATCAGTCCTTCCAATGAATATTCAGGACCGCTTTCCTTTAGGATTGACTGCTTTGATCTTGCGGTCCAAGGGACTCTCAAGAGTCTTCTCTAGCACCACAGTTCAAAAGCATCAATTCTTTGGTGCTCAGCTTTCTTTATGGTCCAACTCTCACATCCATACACGACTACTGAAAAAACCATAGCTTTCACTATACAGACCTTTGTTGGCAAAGTAATGTCTCTGCTTTTTAATATGCTGTCTAGGTTGGTCATAACTTTTCTTCCAAGGAGCAACTGTCTTTTAATTTCATGGCTGCAGTCACCATCTGCAGTGATTTTGGAGCCCAGGAAAATAAAATCTGTCACTGTTTCCATTGTTAAACCATCTATTTGCCATGAAGTGATGGGACCAGATGCCAAGCTCTTAGTTTCTTGAATGTTGAATTTTAAGCCATGCACTATATGATTTTATTTTATTTTTCAAAAGATTTTTTGATGTAGACCATTAAAAAAGTCTTTATTGAATTCATTACAGTATTGCTCTGTTTTGTGGGTTTTTTTCCTGCCACAAAGCATGTGGGGTCTTAGCTCCCTGACCAGGGAACGAATCCACACCCCCTGCATTGGGAAAGCGAAGTCTTAACCACTGGACTGCCAGGGAAGTTCCTACAGTATTACATGATTTTAAACACTTGTAGGAAAGGAAATTATTACCTTAAATATTGTCAAGCACATACAATCTTTTCTTCTTCATCATAAGTTTATCTATTGAAGTTGACCAAAGTAATTTTGAAACATTCTTGGGATCATGTCTTTGGGACATGCGATTACCGTATATATAGCATTGTCTTATTACACCGGTACAGCTTGACAGAGGTAATCACAATTTCAGAGATACACAGACCACTTTTCCTAGAAAAATTCAAAGCTCTTTCATAGTGGCATTGAGTCCCTACTTAACATAAGTGAAATTATAGCCAGCAGGCTCTGCCAAGCAAAGGGTCTAGAACAGGGGTCCCCAATCTTTTTGGCATCAGACCAGTTTTGTGGAAGACCATTTTTTCATGGGCCAGGACCAGGAGCAGGGATGGTTTTGGTATGATTCAAGTGCATTACATTTAACTGTGCACTTTATTTCTATTATTATTACATCAACTCCATCTCAGATCTTTAGGCATTCAACCCTGGAGATTGAGGACCTCTGCTTTTATCCTGGGGTCCCTGAACTTGCATCGAAAAGAAATTACATCTTCATTGTCATTAACCTCTCACTGAAACTGAACATTTCCTTTAAAGATGAACGAAGGCAGGAAACCAGAGGAGTGGTTTAGCAGGTGTAGTACTAGCAATATCTGTGATTGTGTCACCGGTGGGAATCACAGATATTTTCATGTCCTATCAGTTGTTACAGACATCTTCAAATATTATTTAGACTCATCACTACTAGCAATTATAGCAATCACAGCAGTTACAAGAGCCAGCAGACAGGTTATTTAAGGCATCGACAAAGAAGCACGTGTGTAACTCAACCACACATTTAAAAGACACTTTGGAGCCACATTTTCTCCATTCACACATCCCCAGTGTTTTGGGACACCATCTGCCGGGCACAGAGGACGGTGTGCTTGGCCAGCTTGTCTTTGCTGCTCCTCCGCACTCAGACCTTCCAGAGCCCCAGGCCTTCCTCCCCAAGGTGATTCTGACCCCGCAGCGCCTGCGCTCGGGCGCCCGTGCTCTCTGATTTCCTCTCCGGGCTTTAGCGCTGCTCTACATCTTCCCCTAACCTTTCAGTTTACGTTTTTATGTGTTGCACTGAAACATTAATCTCCCCTTAAAAATCCTATGTACACAGTTGGGGAGAGTGAAGAGTGTCTGAGCAGAGGGAAAGTGGTTTCTGAGCTGTGCTGTTCCCAAATGGAAAGAGCTTCTGTGACTGATGATGAGCTCCTCGCTTGTAATAAATACGCGGGGCCTTGCTTTGCCAGGAAGCCGTTTGTCATGCAGCAGTCACTGCCAGGCAGGTCCCTCTGGAACCCCTTTGAGGAGGGGTGGGGAGGGGCTCTTTCACCTTGGAGACCCCGATCGTGTCTATCACCACAAATGCAGTCCATAGCCAGGATCTTTAGGTGTGTTGTATGAACAGTCTGCTTATTACATCTGAGTGATAAGCTTAGTGTTCTCATGACTCTTAATTCAGTTTTTTGGGTCTCCCAGGTGGCACTAGTGATAAAGAACCTGCCCGCCAATTCAGGAGATGTAAGAGATCTGGGTTTGATCCCTGAGTTGGGAGATCCCCCGGAGCAGGGCATGACAATCCACTCCAGTATTCTTGCCTAGAAAATCCCATGGACAGAGGAGCCTGGTGGGCTGCAGTCCACGGGTCACACAGAGTTGGACGCTGCTGAAGTGACTTGGCACGCATGCACAATTCAGTTTTTAAATTTTCAGAGTGAAGGGTGTGTTTTTGAAAGGATAGAATGTTCTGCAACTGGTAACTGGTCTTTCGTTACAAAGCAGCACTGCTGGTGCACCTGGAGCTGTGACGAGGAGTGCACGCCCAGGCATGCTGGTGAGCCTCGAGTGTGGGCTTAGTCATTCAGCCATGTCCAACTCTTTGGGACCCCTTGGACTGTGGCCCGCCAGGCTCCTCTGTCCATGGAGATTCTCCAGGCAAGGATACTGGAGTAGGTTGCCATGCCCTCCTCCAGGGGATCTTCCCAGTTCAGGGATCAAACCCAGGTCTTCCGCATTGCAGGCGGATTCTTTACTGTCTGAGCTACCGGGGCAGCCCAAGAATACTGGAGTGGGTGACCTACCCCTTCTCCAGGGGATTTTCCCAACCCAGGAATTGAACCAGGGTCTCCTGCAGGGCAGGAGGATTCTTTACCAGCTGAGCTACCAGGGAAGCCCTGTGTTAAACCAAGGGGAGCAGGTCTGCAAGAGACAGGCTGGGACCCTGGGATCCTCTGCTTCAGCGCTTGCCCCTGGACACTCGTCTCTTACAGCAACAAAATACAAAGCAATTATAGAGGACTAAGCGCTTCCCTGGTGGCTCAGATGGTAAAGAATCTGCCTGCAATGCAGAACCAGGGGTCGATCCCTGGGTTGGGAAGATATCCTGGAGGAGGGCATGGCAACACATTTCAGTATTCTTGCTTGAAAAGTCCCCATGGACAGAGATCCTGGTGGGCTACAGTCCATGGGGTCGCTAAGAGTCGGACACGACTGGGCAACTAAGCGCAACATAAGGGACTAACAACAACTGTGAGCACGTGCAGGTGCAGCAAGTTACGAAGAAGAAGATACAAAAAGACCAAAAACCCAACTTCCAATTTTGAGGAACTGGGAGCAAAAGCAGGTCTTGTGCATGCGCCATGCACACAAGACCACCAAGGGGGTGGGCAGACCACCTAAGTCCCCCCTCCGGCACGGCGCCTGGACCCACAACTTCCCTCCTTACATTTAAGGAATGGGCTTGGCCCCATCAGAGAGTGAGCAAGGGAAACTGTTACTTTTTCCTCACTCCTACAAGCTGCAGCCTGAGCCCCAAGGAAGCCTTGGCCGAATTTCTCCTCTGGCCTCTTATCAATTTCTATTGATTAAGGAGTCCAAGAACCCTGGTCTGGAGACCCAGAGCAGAGAAATCATTAAAAAAAAAAAAATCTGACTCTCCCCCTGCAAACACGTGCCTCTCAGGCCCAGGCATGCCTCCACCAGCCCTTGCCTTTGTAGGAGCGCACGTACCTGTTGATGTTCATGCTGCAATGATTTGCGGGCAAAGTACTGTTGGCAGAGGCGGTCAGTCGTGAGGAGCTCTCCCTCTCTCCTGGGGCCTTCTTGATCTCCCTGTAGTCGTCTTCATTGTCACACTGCGTGGAAAGAAGCAAAAACCAATCAGCTTCGGATTTCGAGGGATCACAGTGGGCTCCCATCCCACCAGCTCAGGGGGCTTTTTTGGACAAGGTCCTGAGCACCAACATGATGGGAGCACCCTCAGCCCCAGCCTTGGTTCCCCATCAGCTCCTCCTCGAACAAGGACGAAATCTGTCGTTTTGACTACTGACAGCTTACTGAGAGGAAAAAGTGTGACACCGGGATCAAAGTGCAGGAGGGAATACTGTGACGGATGAAAACTGCTCAACCAATGGGCTGGATTCTACCCTCCAAAGAAGACCTGCTCTGGAGTCTCACTGCAGCTTCAGCATCCCTTTCTCTGGCATTTCTTGGTACCCAAACAAGGTATAGCAAGCGACCTGTCCCGGGCTTCACGCTGTAGGAGCAGTGACAAGCTCAGGCTTTTCTTCTGAAATTCATGACCTTGAAGGATCTTTTCATAAAACAGCAGTTTGACTGGATTCTTCTTTCCACGATTGTATTTAACTTCAGACGTGTAATAGGTGTGATGCAGGCCTCCCAGGTGGCACAGTGGTAAAGAACCCACCTCCCAATGCAGGAGACAGAGGAGACTCAGGTTCAATCCCTGGGCTGGGGAGATCCCCTGGAGGAGGGCCTGGCAACCCACTCCAGAATTCTTGCCTGGAGAATCCCATGGACAGAGGAGCCTGGTGGGCTACAGTCCATAGGGTCACAAAGAGTCAGACATGATTGAAGCGACTTAGCACAGCACACACGCAAGGGTGATGCATGTGCACTCAACCAAGTTGTATTTTTGCTGAGATCGCAGCAACGCAGCAGAGAGACATTCAGGACTCTCAGTGGTGTTTCCAGGAGATGGGCACTGGTACTAAAGACAGAAAGACTCTGACCTTCTCTTTCTAGCTGGGATGTCACACAGCCTCTGGAGGAAGGACCACAGATGCTCACATTGAAACTATGCCCCATGGAGGGTCCAAGCCAAAGTTCTGAACCCCCTAGTTCTGGCCACCAGGGCTCTGGCAGGGCTAGACTCTGCACTCTGGGCAGCCAGGTATACAATGTCCCACCTCCTGCACCCAGAACTGGTGGCTTCACACCCCAGGTGATGAGTAAAGAGTGCTGTGCAAATGCTCTTTCCTTTCTCTATGCATGTTCACCTATGATTCAGTAGATTTCATGAGGAGAGCTGAATGTTGGGCTGAGTGCAAATGAAGTTTCATAAGTTAAATTTAAAAAGTCCACGAATAGTAAAATTACTTAAATACAAAATATGATGAATTATACATGTCTCTGTTTTTGCACATCTCTACTGACATATGCCTATGTAGCTATATATATTTCCAATCTCTATATGTTTATCAATTTCTATCTCTGAAACACCTCTCTCTCTCTTTATATCAGCCTGCCCATTTATCCATCAATCTCCAGATAACTGATTGATTTACTCATTAATCAATTAATCACCTGGGAATTGATGGATAAATGAATCTGACAAGTAATGAGGAGGGCAGGGTATGCAGAGGATAACAGAAGGAAAAGAGGGGCAGGTGTGTAGCAAGCTAACCTGTATTACTAAATTATATCATTTAAACCTAACAACATCCCTGTAAAGATGTCACCAGTTTACAAATGAAGAAACACAGAAGGGAAGATCACCTGATTAAGTTCACCTAGGAGGTCAGGGCTGACCGCATGATTTGTGAGGTTCAGTGCAAAATGAAAAGGCTAGGCCCCTTACTGAAAAAGCTGGAGAAGATGCTTGATGTCAGTCTTGGTGATGATTTTCTTGGATTTAACACCAAAAGCAAAAGCAACAAAAGCAAAAATAAACAAGTGGGACTATATTAAACTAAAAAGTTTCTGCAGAGCAAAGTGAAAGTCGCGCAGTCGCATCTGACTCTTTGCGTCCCCATGGACTATAAAGGCCATGGAACTCTCCAGGTCAGAATACTGGAGTGGGTAGCCATTCCCTTCTCCAGGGAATATCCTCAACCCAGGGATCGAACCCAAGTCTTCGGCAGATTCTTTACCAGCTGAGCCACCAGGGAAGCCTGCACAGCAAAAAAAAAAACCATCAATAAAATGAAAAGGCAATCTATTGAATGTAAGAAAACATTTTCAAATAATATATATGAGAAGGGGTTAATATTCAAAACACATAAAGAACACTTACAATTCAACAACAAAGAAACAAACAAAAAAATCCGATTGAAAAACAGGCAGAGGATTTGATTAAATACTTTTTCTAGAGAAGACATACAGATGGTCAACAGACACATGCAAAGATGCTCAGCATCACTAATCACCAGGGAAATGCAAATCAAAACCACAATGAGATATCACCTCACACCTGTTAGAATGGCTGTCATCAAAAAGACTAGAAATGATACATGTGTGAGGATGTGGAGAAAAAGGAAGCCTAGTGCACTGTTGGTGCAGCCACTGTGTGAACAGTATGGAGGTTGCTCAAAAAATCAAAATAGAGCGACTGCATGATCCAGCAATCTCACTTCTGGGTATTTATCCAAAGAAAACTGAAACACTAATTTCAAAAGAGCCCCATGTTCACTGTAGCATTATTTACAATGGCCAAGACAAGGAAACAGCATAAATGGCTATGGATGAAGGAAACTGTGGCATATGTATGTATGCAACGGAAGAAGGGAGTCTGGCCATTTGCAACAACACAGATGGACCTGGAGGGTATTGCGCTAAGTGAAATGAGTGGGATGTGTGTGTGTTAGTCACTCGGTAGTGTCCGATTCTTTGTGATGACAAAGATGACAAAGACCTTAGGATCTCACTTAAATGTGGAATCTGAAAACCAAAACCAAACCACTCTGGGGTGGAGAGGGGGTTACAAAACGAAGGGGTGAAGGAAATCAAAAAGTACAGTTATAAAGTAAGTCATGTGGATGCAGTGCAGCGCTAATAAACAGCATGGTGAGTATTGTGATAATACTGCAGTAAACATTTGAAAGTAGCTAGGAGATCTTGAAAGTTCTCACAAGGAGAAAAAGACATTTGTAACTATGTATAGTGATGGATGTTAGCTGGACTGATTGTGGTCATCATTTTGCAACACATGTAAACCAATATTGAATCATTATATTGTATAATTGACACTTTACTGTCTTTTAAAATTGGTCTCTTAACCTGTCATAGAAGTGTGTTTATTTGCTGTTTTACATTGTGCTTCTTGAAGCATGGGGATACTTGGCATGTGCTGACTCTCCCGAATGCCAGGCATGCTGGCCTGAGACTGGGCACGTGCATGCAGCCCAGCAAATGGTTTCTGCCACCTACCAGCTGTGGGTCGAGGGGTGAGGAAGTGCAGTCAGGCATCACCCCTCCCCCAAGGCCACCTGGAGTCTCTCCTGGGGGACCCCTCAGTGCCTGGATTGAGGGTGGGGAGATGCTACAGTTATAAAGTAAGTCATGTGGATGCAGTGCAGCGCTAATAAACAGCATGGTGAGTATTGTGATAATACTGCAGTAAACATTTGAAAGTAGCTAGGAGATCTTGAAAATTCTCACAAGGAGAAAAAGACATTTGTAACTATGTATAGTGATGGATGTTAGCTGGACTGATTGTGGTCATCATTTTGCAACACATGTAAACCAATATTGAATCATTATATTGTATAATTGACACTTTACTGTCTTTTAAAATTGGTCTCTTAACCTGTCATAGAAGTGTGTTTATTTGCTGTTTTACATTGTGCTTCTTGAAGCATGGGGATACTTGGCATGTGCTGACTCTCCCGAATGCCAGGCATGCTGGCCTGAGACTGGGCACGTGCATGCAGCCCAGCAAATGGTTTCTGCCACCTACCAGCTGTGGGTCGAGGGGTGAGGAAGTGCAGTCAGGCATCACCCCTCCCCCAAGGCCACCTGGAGTCTCTCCTGGGGGACCCCTCAGTGCCTGGATTGAGGGTGGGGAGATGCTAATCCTGACCCCAGCCCCCTGGATGGGGATGCAGAGTGGGGAGGCTGCTCCCGGCCAGAAATGCAAAGGGGCCACGGGGCAGGCAGAACCCATCCTGGGGAAGTGGGTAGGAGGTGGAACCAAGCAAGCTCTATTGTCCCATCACCTTCACTTACAAAAGACAGATTCAAAGATAAAAGAGAGAATTCCAAGATGGCAACCACAGGCATTAAATTCCGGGCATGGAGTCTTCTGAGCGGGGGCCGTGAGGTGAAAGTACTACACAAATCTCCGGCTGGTTTCTTATTGGGAGACCCTAGAGCCAGAGACCTGACTTCATTCCCAGCTCTGTCCTTTCTCACCTACACGACTCTGCAGCAAGTCACGTGAGGCTCTCTGAGCCTTGGTTTCCTCATCTGTAAAAGGGGTATGATAATAACATTTGCCTGATAATGTTGTAAGGATTTTATAAATGATTCAGCACCCTCATGGGGACATATACATGTGTTAACAGTTGTGAATGATTTTGTCTCAAATTTGGTGCCATCCATGATGACTGTAATCTGGTTTGTCACCCATTGTGTTTTCCGCTGCGGTCCTAGTTACTTTTGAAGATGTAGTAACAGGAGGCAGTAAAGATTCTCAGAACTGGTTTTAAATTATGATAAAGTGATTCTTGTGCTCAGAAATTCTTTAGAAACATCTGAATGGCCAAGTGTTTGGGTCTACTTCTGGACCCTTGTCCAGCTCTCCCTGCACTTAAGTCCCTGCCCGCTTCACTCTGTACAATCCCTCTTTGCTCAGTTGGCTTCCCAGCTTTGGTAGTGAATCCTCTGAGTACTCAAAAGTCCTTCCTGCTTAGGGCCCTGTTCCCAGCTTGTCTCCACCACAAAGTCCTTCTGATCAATACCATGGGGAGCACCAGCCTATGGCTCCCATGCCGCAGGCTGGGGTCCCCTTCTGGGGTCCTGTTGCCCACAATCCCCACTGGTCACTTCCATATTCATGCCTCACCACCCTAGGCACAGCCTTACTCAACTCTATGAGGCAGCTGGCTTCTTAAGTCAATGAATGACCCCACCTCTTCCAGCAAAGAATGAGGTTCACCCGTGTTTAGTTTTCCTCACTGGTCCAGCCTCTAGCTCATTCCCTGAAGACACTCAGTGAACATTTCCCAATTGCCTACTTCCACATGCAGTGGGACAGGCCTTAATTACCTATCACATGGGAATAATAGCTGGTCTTCCCACAATGGGCGGTTCTAAGGATGTTTAGTTAATATGTGTCAAGTACTTACACTGGGCTCCCCTGGTGGCTCAGATGGTAAAGAATCTGCCTGCAATGCAGGAGACATGGGTTCGATCCCAGGTTGGGAAGATGCCCTGGAGGAGGGCATGGCAACTCACTTCAGTATTCTTGCCTGGAGAATCCCATGGACAGAGGAGCCTAGCGGGCTATAGTCCATCATAGGGTTGCAGAATGTCAGACAGGATTGAAGCGACTTAGCAGGCTCCTATGCACTTACATCAGTATCTGCATATGTAAAGTGCTTTATGAACGTTTGCTGAAGGAGGACACATTAACTCCTGCTCCTGGAACATTCCAGACCAGTGGACCTGCCCACAAGTTCGGGGAGGGCCCTCCCTCCCACTGTGCCTTCAGCCCCTCGGGTTTCCAGGCCTACCTTGCGTTTCCTCTTGGATTTTGGCAAGGTCTTTTCCACGGGCGCCTCGGATGCGTGGCTCGGGGGCGCGCTCTCAGAGTCCTTGGCCGCGGGAGCACTCAAGACCCCCGGCTCCTGGGGCAGGTGTTCCGGGATCCTGGACAGAAGTGTCAGGTCAATTTTGACCCAGAGTGACCGGACCTCGTCACTGTCCTTCAACGGGGAGAGAAGCTCGTTGCGGCCGAAGGGGACCAGTGTGTAGAACTGCTCCTCCAGCTCCTTGGCAATGTCGCTGGTGGTCCTGGCGTTGATGGAGCCCACGGGAGCGCGGGGGCCGCCACCGCTGATGCTGCTGGGAGCCTCCTTCAGCCTCGGGTCGTTCCCGGAGGCGGAGGCGGCAGCGGCAGCGGCGGCTGCGGCCACGGCCTTGGACAGAGGGTAGTCCTCCTGCTCCGACTCCAGGTCCGAGTCCGAGGAGGAGGACGAAGAGGACGACTCCGTCTCGATGAACTCCTTGGATTTCGGGACGATCCGGCTCAGCCCCCGCGTGCGGCGCTTCTCGCAGGTCACGGCCGAGCGCAGCTCCTTGCGGTGGTTGGTCCTGCTGTTGCCGCAAGGCCGGGGCTTGGGGGGCTCCGGAGGAAGNGAGCAGTAGGTGTGTCCACCCACCGGGCTTCCCAGGCAGCTCAGGGGGTGAAGCACCTACCTGCCAGTGCAGGAGACCTGGGTTCGATCTCTGGGCCGGGAAGGCCCCCTGGAGAAGGGAATGGCTACCCACTCCAGTATTCTCCCCTGGAGAACTCCATGGACAGAGGAGCCTGGTGGGCTACAGTCCGCGGGGTTGTAAAGACTCAGACACGACTGAGCGACTAACACATTCCTGGCCCCCCGACCCTGAAATGCTAGGGCAGCAGTTTGAGAAGTGAGAGGACACACTATTCCTCATTAGGACCCATTTCCAGCACTTTTGAGTGTTACACGGTGTATATTTTTTGTATTTATACAGACATGCATAAACTTGAGGGCCCATGAAAGTTATCTGGGGTGTAGTTAGGAGACCTTGAGTGTTGAAGCGCACACTTTTTTGGTGAGACTTGTAATTTGGGGAAAAATTAGAAAAGGGGGCAAGTGGCCCCTGCTGGACTTGGTTTATCCATCCTCAACCCGCCTCCATTACACTTCGCCCGAAATGTTTCAGACGAGGAGGTGACAATGAAAACCTCTCCTGTAAACAGTTTTACTAAATTAGAGCAAATCCTGGACATTCCAAGTCTTAAACTCTGACCCACAGATTGGCTCTGGGGGAGGGGGGAGGCCAGTGAATGCCCTGTAACAGAATGTCAAAGGTCATGTAGACACATTTTTGGGAGAGAGGGTCATAGTTTGCATTTACCTCTCTAGGGATCTATGTCTTATTGAAAGGTTAAGAACTGATTCTCTTACAGGGAGTAAATGTTGATTTCTAATAAAAGTCCATTTATCCAGCCTCTCTGATTATTAGTAGAAAAGAGATATATATTGATAAGTACAGAACTTTGTTGTTGTTTAGTTGCGAAGTCATGTCTGACTTTATGGCAACCCCATGGACTGCAGCCGGCCAGGCTTCTCTGTCCATGGGATTTCCCAGGCAAGAATACTACAGTGGGTTGCCATTTCTTTCTCCAGGGGATTTTCCTGACCCAGGGATTGAACCCATGTCTCCTGCATTGCAGGTGGATTTTTGACCGCTGAGATACCAGGGAAGCCCCATAGAACTTTAGCTAGAATGTTTTTAATTTGTGAGTTTTAATTTGTGAAATGGGGGGAAATTTTGGCATGATTAAGATGATGTGTGTTTCCTTCCCTATGTCCTCCACTCTATAAATTCATGGCTTCTGATGATTGGGTGAGGTGGGGGTGGGGTGGGGGTGGTGGAATTAGATACCTCCTAGAATAAAGAGAAATGGCTTAGCTTTGCATTTCATATTGGTTTGTTAAAGCCCAGAGCAAGTCAGGCTCCCTTGCAGGAGAAAAACACTGTTCTTTAACATCATAACTTCTGAATGCTTGCTTTTAGGTGTCAAGATTTGGTTTTCAACAAAGAGGTTGGTGTTAAGAGCAGAACTTGGGGCACAGCCTCATGCAGAAAGGATCCAGTGGCAGGGAGGTGAAGTGCAAGGAGGGCAGGCAGTGCTTTAGACCCAGGGGTCCTGGCTGAGTCTGGGGCACAGCTCAGGGAGACGGGAAGCCTTTAATGGGCCAGCAGGGCCTGGGGCCAGGATGGAGAGGCCACAGAGTGTGGAGAGCGGGCACTGGACCTGTGGTAGGGACTGTGGACATTCTACTGGTTCCCTCCAAACAGACGAGATCAACTACACTTCAGGGAACCGCAGCACAGGGTGTGGAGGGGCTGGGAACGACAGTGACCGTAAGCAGAAAATGACCCGGCAGCACATCAGTGATTACTCCAGTGATTAAATCCTCCCTTTGCTGTGAAGGCGCCCTCCGGGAAATCTTAGTGGGAGTCTCCTTGTGAGGCATTTCAGTGGAGGCCAGCACGGGGATCCCAGGCCCTGCTCCTGGGGCCATGAGGATGGGGGAGCATCCCCATGGGATACGAGTGTGGAAGGGGGCTCTCTCATGACCCTGATAGGGAGTCTGGACTCTGACTTGATGTTCTGCTGTATTTGCTTTCATGCCACCCATCGGACCAGGACTCCAGAACAACAGGCAAAAAAACAAAATGATAAAATCTTTTTTTGGGCCCCTGAGTTTTACTTTGTAAATTCTGACCTCACTTTAATGTGGCACCTCCAGAGACGGGGAACAATGGAACCTGCAGAGCCCACCTGACCCGGCCCATCCTGCAACAGTGAAGTGACAGAGGAAGCAGGGAGGCAGGACACAGAATGGCTTCTGTGCCAAGCGGGGACTCTAGCCCGCCCTGAGGTCAGCTGAGGGTGATCAAAGGCTACTTTTAAAAAATGTATTTATTTATCCATTTTGGCTGCACCAGGTCTTAGTTGCAGCACTCGGGAGCTTCGATTTTTGTTCTGGCATACGGGATCTCCAGCTGGGGCATTTGAATGCTTAGTTGCGGCATGTGGGATCTAGTTCTGTGACCAGGGTTTGAACCCGGGCTCCCTGCATTGGGAGCTCAGAGTCTTAGCCACTGGACCGCCAGGGAAGTCCCCTGAAGGCTAATTTGGTGGCAGACACATTTATGGCTTTGGGCTGTCTCCTCCCCAGCCCCATTTCTCTCTGATCCCTGGCTGGGTCAGTGACTTCTGTTCCTCAGCTTCCCCAGATAAACGGGGCCCAGTAATGTGAGTGGACGCTGAAGGCGCCTTGCAGATGGGGGTGCACACTGGCCAGGGTGGACACATTTATGGCAGCATCTGCCACTTACCCCCACCCCCCCCCAACCAGGTCATCCTCATCCCCACCGTCCTGAGCCTTCCACACCTCACATCTCTTACATGTGAGAGCACAGATGCTTGCCTGGAGCCAAAACACAGCGGCTCACAGTGAGACTCCCACTAAAACTCCCCGGAGGGAGTCTTCACGGCAAGGGGAGGATTTAATCAATGGGGTAAGGGCCCGCTGCCCCACGTGCCACAGAGTCATTTTTCTGCTCTTCACAGCCAAAGAAATCAGGACCATTTTCAACACATTGCTAAATCACGTTCCCTTTCTCAAGGATCTACAATGACCTCCTCTTGCCTCTCGAACAAAATCCAAACTCCTCAGGCAGCCATCATATTACAGGCATCTTTCATTGCTGGAACACCCCCAGTGTGCTCCCATATTACATGTATCATCTCATTTAATCCATAGATAAGAGGTACTATCACCCTTAGTTTTTAGATGAGGCTCAGAGAGGTTAAGTAACATGTCCAAAGCTGCAGAGCTACCAGGCACCAGCAAGACTAAACCCACGCTTGTCAAAGCTGAGATCAGATTCCTTCCCTGCTGTGTTGCCTAAGCGCCCATTACTCTCTGGGGAAGCCTCATGCAAAGGGGACCTTGTTTCATTTGAGAAATGTTAGGTCTTCAAATGATAGAATTTGATCTGACTTTTGGAGAAGACACCACTAACTCTCCAGATAATACCTGTTGCCTTCCATTATCCTCAACGGCATAATCTTTTGATATCCACACCTGTTTCATGTATATGCATCTGTGTCTTCAACAAAGACAAACCCTGCTCTCCGTCAGAGGCCAGGTTTCTGCTTCTTTGTATCCCTCGCAGGACCCAGTAGGTGAGGGGCAGCTTGCTATGACCCTGTTGCCACTAATGACTCACAATGAGCTGTCACTCCCTGTTTGTCACATACTCCTCAGAAACACCTCACAGATTAGACAGTGTGAGATTATCTGCCATTTTGGGGCATAAAACTGTGGCCAAGGAAATTTAAACAGCCAAGAGTTAGGTGGTGGGAGGAGGGCAGACTTGGGGCTTGGGGCTCCTTGCCTGGCAGGCTGCTGGCTCTGGTTCACTGTCTGAGCCATCCAGTGGGGTTCTGCCCAGCGCTTTTGTTTGTCTGCTGGCTTGCAGTATGTATTTCCAGCCAGGACTCTCCTCTCGGAGCAATCTTCCCTCTGACTCATGCACAAGCTCTCCAGGGCATACTCTAGTCTCTATTTCATCTACAACCTTCAGAGCACCCACTGCCACATACCCCATAGATGCCTAATTAAGGAGAAGCTTGTTGAATCCATGAACAACTTGTATTTTTGAAGATTTTCAAGAATGATCTAGGGCAGCATTTTCCAAAATGTGTTTTTAACCCATGAAGAAAGCCTACCATGGTGGGACATATCTGGGAAATGCCACAATGGAGAACACTGTCTACATGAGTGATGTTGAGGGCTGAGCGATGCCCTGCAGTAGAGAAATGGGTGGAACCTACTTTATCCTGGCTCTTCTCAAAACGCTGGGACCAGAGACTGCCCTGGTGGCCCAGTGGATAAGACTCTGTGCTCCCAATGCAGGGGGACTGGGTTTGATCCCTGGTCAGAGAACTAGGTCCTACCTGTTGCAACTAAGAGCTCCCATGCCACAGCTAAAGATCCCACATGCCTCAACTATGACCCTGTGCAGTCAAATAAAAATAAAGTCCTGTGACCAGGCTCTTTCTTGTCCACATAGCAAGTCGTCCCTTTACTTGGAACACTGGTCTAAGGAGCCCCGTGTGCTGCTCTAAATGTGCTAATGGAGGGGCAAAGTGTCCCCCACCCCAACCCCTTCCTACTCCCTGGTCAAGCTCTGGTATAGAGGATGTCCCAGACCAAGAAAGAAAAAAGAACTCAAATGAAAAAAATTAGTCTGCTGACAAGCAAGCAAACCTCAGGCCACAGAGATGGGATCTGCAGCAATGGAAACACTGAATCCAATGTCTCTTCCACGCCCGCTTGCAGACAAGGGGTTTCATTCCATGGTGATACGTGTGAAAGGCAGTGGCTTTCTACCACCAGGGCCAGAAACACAGCTTGGATGAGACTCAGGAGAGCCAAGCAGATGCCCAGTGCTGGCACGTTGCGGGGGGAGGGGGGAATGCAGGTGTCTTGGGACATCATGAGGGTCTCCTGCTCTCATATCAGAACATTTCTGGGAGGGGAAAGAGGGCCAGATACATTTGCTGCAAAGCAGCAGGAACAGGTCTCTGTGGTGGAATGGGAGGTGTGTGGCTATGAAGAGCCGGGTGGTCCTGTGGAGACAGGGAAACGGGTCTCCCTGCTCTATGTCAGGGGACCTGGGCCAGCTCAGGGCAGAGGAGAGCAGGGCTGCCGTAGAGTCGGCCCGTAATACTTCTTTCCCCTCTTTTCAATGTTCATTCTGCAAACTCATTGTAATTCTTTTTTTTTTTAATTAAAAATAACATTTTTGGCCATGCCACATGGCTTGTGGGATCTTAGTTCCCTGATGAGACACTGAACCCACAATGTCCTTGGGAGTGCACGGAATCCTAACCACTGGACTGCCAGGGAATTCCCTCCTTGTATTTCTGAAGGGCGTGTGTCTGTAGTCGTCTTGGGAAGAAATGTTACAAAAGAAAAAAACAAGCCCCAAACCCCTTGCTTTTATTCCCAGGAATACATTCCTTTCCAGCAGAGAGAAGTCATGCTCTGTGGCTATACCTGTCACTTCTGCACTCCCTCTGCAAGGAGAAGCCAGAAGTTGAAACCTACCCATGGCCTCAGGCAACTTAAACTCTAAGGCCTGTGTTAGCAGATTCCCTTCCTCCTCCTTCTCCTTGGCTGGGGGCTCTAATAGCTGCTGGAAGAAACGACAAGTGCTTCTTTTCATCACCAAGAAGTTCGGGTCTTTGTAATTATTTCAGTGACATTTAGAGGGAGTCTGCTCAGAGACCTTTTTAAGTGTGCTTCTCTGAGGCTGGTTTAAACCTCATCTAGAAACTCCAGGAGTCACATTTCAACATGCAAATAATATTCAACATTCCTGAATTTAACCTTCAAAGTCACGAAGAGCCAGGGATGGGGGCTCTCATTCACAGACCCTAAGGCTTTTAATCCACCGCCACTGTCCCCCCTGGCCCTTGCAATGTCCCTGAAACACAGTTCTTCTACTGCATATTCTGGAGTTTTTCAACAAATTAGATCACAAAGCTGGCTCTGAAGAAGCTTGGTTAATGCCTCTGGTTTTTTTTTTTTTTTTTGCTTGTTTGTTTCAAATTATTCTCATTAGAATATCAGGTCTGTGTAGACAGGAATCTTTGTCGTCAAATCACTGCTGTCTCCCAGGGCCAAGCCTATCTGTGGCAGAGATTCAGTAAATATTTGTTGAAAAACCATAAATGAGTGAATGAACAGATGAATGAATGAAATGATGGAGAAGGAATAATTTAGCTTCTGGGGGAAGTCAGGGTTATAGCAACATGTAGCTTTTATAGGTTAATGTTGCTAAGGGCCTTTCCCTTACTTATACAGGGAGATAGAGATCGCTAGATAGACAGATCAAGAGAGATGGAGGGAGAGAGAGCGACATAGGCACACAAACTGGAAATGGAAGGCTGGCTGGCCCTTAAAGGTGCTCTCCTCTCACCATCAAGGTTTGCACGTGTGGGTTTGTTTTCATTTTAGAGCTTATTTAGAAATTTGGGCCCCACAGTGGTACAGAGGGTGGCAGGTTAAAAAAAAAAATCCTATGACCCTCAGTAACGTGAACTGTCTGTACACTTAAGAAGAAGTCTATTTTATTCCTTCTTTAGAAATCAAAGTCTACCCTTACTAATCCAGAAACTGGACAAGTGTGTTCTCAGTCCTCTCTCAAGGATCCATGCTCTGAATCACTATTTAATTTTCCCCTTTAAAGTAGAAATAGCAATGGCTTTTATCGGGACCGTATCATATTTTTATATGAGGCACCTAAATCTTCCACACATAGATACTCATAGATACTTCCATATAGATACTCATCATACCTATAAAAGCTTTCATTATTATTTTCAGGTTCATGCTAATTTTTCTCTGTATATTTTCACAAAGAAAACACAGTTAAAAAGGTTTTATTTATACTTATAGCCTGTGTTCTTCTAATCTGTGACAAACTGCAAAAAGGTAAGATTCGAGCCATGTCTAATCCACAAAACTCCTTTCTCCATAATTTACAAGGGCTTGGAGCTGCCCTATCTGCTTACTGCCTCTCTGACCCCAATCCTCAGGTTATTTCCAGTCAGCGATGTTTACAGCATGTTTGTAAAGTTCTGGAAGTCAAGATAGAGATTTTTGGACTGTAAGAGATGAAGTTTCTAGATCTCAAAGGAAGCTCTGTAGCTAGGAGCACTTTGAGGAGGAGGTTGGGGGAAATGAGCCCAAAGCAACCCTGGCAGGCTGCCTGGGAGTGGTGGCCTGTACGGGTCAGAGCAGCTTGCAGGCCACGGAGGCTGGGGGAGTGGGGGGTGTGAGAACCACACTGGGAGGAGGCCCGACAGTGCTCTCGCAGACACTCACCTCGGGGCTGGAGCAGTGGGCAGGCTTGCTGCCCTCGCTCTCGCTGGAACTGCTCTCCGTCTCCGAGTCGGACCCCGAGCTGGTCTCCGAGTCGCTGGAGGAGCTGCTCCCACTGCTGCTGCTGCCGCCGCTGCTGCCCTTGCTCGAGGGCGCCGAGGCCCTGCAGTCGGCCGGCTGCAGTCCGGCACTGCCCACCCGCGAGGAGAGACAGGGAAGGGAAGCCGAGTGAGCAAACGCGGAAGCACCGCTGAGCCGGCCGGCGGGCACCGGCGGCGCGGGGCCGCACATGGGCCAGCCGTCGCCTGGACGGAGCCGGCAGAGCCGCCGTCAAGGTCACAGCGGCCTCCTGGTTAAGACAACGGAGGCACAGAAATAAAACTGGGAGTGAAGGCTGGTGCCACCCGGTCGTCGGGCACCGGGTGGTGGGCCTGGTCTGTGTGCCCATTTCAGAAAAGGAGGTGACGTCGCTGCAAGAGGACTGTCCCTGTTTTGCTGCTGTTTCTGGGAATGGCTTTTCAAATGCATCCCCGATTCCAATCATCGGCCAAAAAAGCCAGGAAATCCAAAATGCTTGAAATACTTTGCAGAACGAAAAGGTCTGTTTGCTTTATTTTAGGAAGTGGGCTGTGAGGAAGGGCGCAGTGTCCTGCTCTGTGCTTTCACGGCCTGCTGGAAGGTTCCAGACACAGAGGGACAGACCAAGTTGTCTGGCTTCCTACCTCTGCCCACCCATAGACTCCAGTGCTGTCGTCTTTACTGCAGCTGGGTTGCTGTCTAAACAGTACTTTTCCTTTGAGCCTCTTATTAGAAAACTGGAGATCCTTCACTCACACAGTTTTTATTTATTCTGACTTTAAAATTCAACTCCAGTGCAGTGGCATAGAGCAATACCACTTCAAATTATACTCGATGTTCATATCCATGCTGAAATCTGCCAGAAAGTTCTATACTCAAATTAGAAACTCAAAGAGAACAGCAAACAGGGATACTCCTCATGGCAATTAATTAACCACAAAAATGCAAATAACACACATCCACCCAAACAGTGAGCCATAAAGAAAGTTCTGGTACTCACAAAATAGCCAACATCTTCAGTGTCCGTTATTCATTGCATTGAAACACACCTGACTGTCCTTTTTGAGGTCAAACTCTAAACCCAGAAAATGCAGTGACTACTTTTTTAATGTTGAGTCAGCACATATCAGCTTGCTTCTCCCACTTGTGACCACCATTTCACCAGGACTGCATTGCAAGTGAGTTCGTCAGAGTTTATGGTCTCAAGTGCAAAAGCAGCTAGGGCAAGGTAAAGGATCCTTCCCACCCGCCCCTTAGATCTTTGACAAATGCTTTGCCGTGGGACAGATTCCCATAAATCCTCAGTGGAGGGGCCGGGGGAGGGGGCTAAAATGCATTGGGATCTTGCTTTTCAGAAGAATGATAAGACAAGAAATGATCTTGCCGGGTGGACCTACAAATCAAAGCACTGTTTTGAATTGCAGGTTTAAGGAAAAGGGGAGTTTGAACATAAGCTTCCCCAGGGGTTTTTATTTCTTCTGCCAGTGTCACGGTCTGTACCCAAACAGTCTGACAAAATTCTTCACTGTCAGGCAGCATCTGCGGCTTGACACCTTGCCTGAGCTAAAATGATTCCTTTCCCAGCCTGCTATTTGTTCTGGTGTTGAGTGAGGAATCCTGGATCTTTAGACAGAGGCTGGGAAGAGGCGGTTAGCAATAAAAGGGTTATATTTCTTTCTTCCCTTATGAATTAAAACCCATTTTTCCTAGGGGCTGAGTCAAAATGACTACTATCAATGGAATCATTAAAAAAAGGCTGTTAGATCCTGAACTGAACATGAACGTTTGGGATCCATGTTAACGGTTTGTTAGTCGGTCCCCAAAACACTGGGGAAAAACTCCAAAAAACAAAAACCTTCCCAAACCCAAACCAACACAAACCCAAACCTAAAAACTCCCCAAAGCCAAAGAACACACATTGGAGGAAAGAGATCTGTCTGCCTGCCACACTCTGGAATGACATCTGCTGAAGTCCAGGAAATTAAGAGAAATAGAGAGCATTTTGATTGGTTTTATATGATGGTCAAAGGCTTTGATCACCAAGCGGTACATTCTCCTGCTTTCATCCCCACAACAAAGGACGTGAGAGGCTGGCGCTGTGTGCACCTGGTGTTGTGTTTGCAGCGGAGGCAGCAACGTGTGTGGAGTTCCCTGGGGCCTGCACCACAAAGTGACTGTCTTTTGAAGAGCAGCCCTTTAATTTCTGGGAAAATGTCCATTAAACAGTTACTGTGCTGCCTTTCCTTTATCACCGCTGTCCTGTCGTAATGAGACCCACTAGCCCAGGGAGACAGTCTCTGATCTGAATCAGATTGGCAGAAAAGCCTTAAGAGTTTTGTTTTCCTTCCTTATATTAGGAAATTCACTTAAAATGACAGTTTTACTGGCATAACTATTATTTGCTTTTGAAACAGTCGGGAGAGCCAAGAATTTTAGGTTTTCTTCCTGCCTTGCTTTGAAGAGCTGTGAGGCTCTTGTTGCCTCTGGGGTCAGGACTGAATACATCCGTGTTTCCGTGGTCAGGGTAGAGACTGCATGGCTTTTGATATAATAATCCATATCAAGGATGGATATGGATTATCAAGGATGATATAATAATCCATATCAAGGATGGAGGCAGGCCTGTCTGCAAGGGCTCTGGAGGCTTCGGTTGTTGGATTAACGTAACTGCCCTGACCTCCATCAAACCTGCTCCACAGACTAGCCTTTTTGGGGGCCACTGGGGAATGCTGGTCATTTCAGACTCAGTGTAGTGACTGTCTTTGCCATGAGTGGAAGCCACCGTGGCAACCAGGGTGGCAGAATAAAGAAGCCAGGGACGGTCATCACAGCAGATGAGAGTTAAGAGAAGGATGGTGGTGGTTTAGTCACTCAATCATGTCCTACTCTTATCACCCCATGGACTGCAGCCTGCCAGACTCTTCTGTCCATGGGATTCTCCAGGCAAGAATACTGGAATGCGTTGCATATCCTTCTCTAGGGGATCTTCCTGATCCAGGAATCAAACCCGGGTCTCCTGCATTGCAGGCGGATGCAAGAGAAGGATGGACTCACTTAAACCAGAGAAGCTCTTTGGAGTAGTGGAATTAAGATGAAGGAAAAAGACATATTGAGCATACCCTCCTGCAAGAAGACTTCAGGCTTTATATATTTAAAACTGCAAACTGTGAATTTTAGTGTGCTGACTAGTCGTCATGTTTCCATACCAAAGACATTAACAGTTTTTTCAACTTAAGTTAAAAAGTAACTTTTTCCTGAAATGATAACATGGATCGACTGTCGTGATGACACAGCACTGGACAATTTTTAGGAGAGTTCTTGGACCCTATGCCATTTCCGGATCATGGTGCCTTTGAAAACACGTGGACGTGAAGATATTACTGAGATCATGGAATAAAAGCCTTTGTGTCAACGAACTTCACACAGTGCCTGGGACATAAATGATCACATGTGATTACTGAATGAAAAAAATCAATAGAAAAAAAAAGGATTTAACCTTTCAAAAAGGTTACAAGCTCATTGGAAAATACCCTGATACTGGGAAAGACTGAGGCAAAGGAGGAGGGGGTGACAAAGGATGAGATGGTTGGATAGCATCACCAACTCAATGGACATGAATCTGAGCAAACTCTGGGAGACAGTGAGGGACAGAGGAGCCTGGCGTGCTGCAGTCCATGCGGTCGCAAAGAGTCGGACCTGACTTAGCAACCAAACAAGAAAAACAATCTCTCTTCTCTATTTAAAAAAAAAACCCCAAAATAAGTAAGGGGGTTTCAGTCCCTCTCATACTTCTCCAGTGTTAATACCTCTCCTTGAAGAGAATGTCTTTAAATGTACTCAAAATTTCATGTGCTATGTAATGTAAGCCCAGTTCTCCGATGGATGGTTTATTTCCTTTTGGTATTTTTATTTCAAGAAATGTTTTGCCTGCTTTTTGAAGTGGCTGAGACCAAATACCCACTTGGGGTGTCTTAGCTTCACTCGAAACAAACTGCTTGCCGTGCCCCTTCCTTTGGCTGCAGCGACTGAATCTGGCCTGGGCTGAGTCTAAGTACGGACGGTCAGAGACGAGATCTGGACCCCAGATACCTAGATCTCACAGCACAGATCCTCCTGCCAAGGGTACTGTGGGGCCTGGATAAATATCTAAAGTCGTTCATGATCTTTAAACTAACAAGGAACGTGGAGGCTGGCTCTGTGCCTGCTGGGCACTGTGTGGGTCTCTGTGATGCCCAGCATGCCGTTGAGATGGGTTGAAGGATAATAGTTTAGGAGAGGTCCTGCTCCTTCTCACTCAGCACTCTGTATGAACTAACCCACGCTTGATCTCTAAACCGTCATCAGTGCCCTGGCGTTGGTCCTCCTTTACTGATGGTGTCTCTATGGATACCAATTGATCTAAAACTATAACCACACTGTTGTTTAGTTGCTCAGTTGTACCTGACTCTTCTGTGAACGCATGGACTATAGCCTGCCCAGCTCCTCTGTCCTTGGGATTTCCCAGGTGAGAATACTGGAGTGGGTTGTCATTTCCTTCTCCAGGGGATCTTCCTGACTCAGGGATGGAACCCAATTCTCCTTCACTGGCAGGTGGACTCGTCACCACTGGGCCACCAGAGAAGTGCCAATAACCATATTAGGAGAGGTGAACGTGGAAAGGCTGGCACGAGGAGGTCTGCTGTTGCTGGAATTATCTTCCAGAATATGAAACTGATAGGACTGTTGGTCTTGTACTAAAAGTTTTTGTTAGCTCTGGTGCTGGGAAAGATTGAAGGCAGGAGGAGAAGGGGATGACAGAGGATGAGGTGGTTGGATGGCATCGCCGACGTGATGGACATGAGTTTGAGCAAGCTCCGGGAGCTGGTGAAGGACAGGGAAGCCTGGCGTGCTGCAGTCCATGGGGTCGCTGAGAGTCAGACACGACTGAGCCACTGAGCAGCGACAAACCTCTGGAACGCCTCTAGGAGCAAGTCTTGTATTAGACATGGCTTTTGAAGCTCTTCATGGTCCGGCCTTAATTAAATTTCTGGCAATTCCTCAATGGGCCCATCCCTAAACCTCAGCTATAATAAATCTCATCACTTTGACAACCTGGGTACATTTGCATGTGCT